GCATATACGGCACTAATATGCAAAATAAGTTGTTTTACTTCATACGTAGTTTCTGGATGAACAGCGATTTAAAAACGAGAATTTCTTTTTTGTAAGAAAACATTTTAAACAGGTTCTCTCGTTATTCGGTGACATTGGTGAGTCACTCTCTGGTCGTCTCATCTCAAACTCTGACTCGCAAGTCAAATTGCACGACGAGTTCATTCTCTAAATTACTTCAAGTCCGAGATCTTACAAAGTCACCTTTTACCAAACTCAGCTAAAACACTCAGTGAAGCGGCAGCGTGGCAGTACCATGAATGCGTAAGTTGTAACCTCTAATTTCCATAGAACAGCGATCTAAAGTAATTTTCAATTAAAAACACTCTTTCAAAATTCAAAACTATGACAAAATGTATTTAACACAAATTATTGTGAATAATAATCGCCTAAAGTATTCCATGTTAAAACAATAAAAACTAGATTTAAGATGGTTAACTTCCACTTAAATCAATTAGGAGCGATTGGCATGGTGGAGAACAGACCACAGCGTGTTGTGTATGAAGAAACACACGGCCGCTAATTCCTCACGCACCGAGTCCGTAAGCTGCCCGCATCTGCCGCATCCCGGCCGGTCGCGGCGCTCCCTTGCCCACCTGTCACCTGACCTCCTCTACCTGCTTCCCCTCGCAATGAATGAAAATATAAATGAAACGACCCGGAGGCACGCCGGGCTGCCCCGTTTCAAAACTTTCCCCATCTGCCATATGCTCGCTTTGACATTTCCACAAAACAGAACTATCAAAACCATAGCGTAAAAAAATTCAATTAAAATTAAAGTTCACGCTCCTTCAACAGCCTATTACCCGCACGCTAAGTGCGCCTTCATGTAGCAGGCATAAGCGCATTTATTAAAATAATAAAAAAAAACTATAGCAATAATGTAAATAATCTGCATAAGCATGCGTAAAATCATGTAAATAAGATTATGTTTTTAAAAGTGCAATGCGTTAATGCGGAAAACAAAAAATGCTTTACTGTACCTATGCCTTGGCCGCCTAGCCATCATCAAGGTAAGAAAGCGGTGACTTGCTGCAAGTATTCGTCTATAGCACTTGGAGTTATCTCGGGACAAGGAGCAGGTTGACATTAAAGAATGAAGGGAGTGTAAACAGATGCCATCAAACAAAGCTTTTTAGGGCCCTCCCTCCGCGCTAAATTTGGCGCCCCGTTTCTTTACGCAAGCGCAATATTCTGCTGCCCCGGTGTGAGCAAGGCGCGTTTTTCGGTCCAGTCCCCGCTAAACTCTCAGCACTTAACATTACTTCTTTTTTATTGAGGTGGGGCTAACTGTTACTGTGGAGAATATGCACAATTAAGGAATGGGGTATGTAGCAGGAGTGGTAACGATCGGTTTGACTAGGTTTCTTTCCCCCCCTGTATTTTTCGGTTTGCTATTGCTGTGGATACTTGGGAGCATAATATGTCCTCCATGCTTTTCTAGAAAGCTGCTAGAAGTGAATGGGGACTTTCTAAAGTTAATATTTAATTTATATTGTATAGACGCTCACATGTGTAATATTAGTTTCACTTTGCAAAATGTTTGTTTAAACCTACTTTGCTTAGTAAACTCCAGACGATCGAACAATATTATTTATGTCTCCGAAGCTTAAACGTTGGTCAGAAACTTATAAATGTTTTGCTTTTTCAGTAAATGAAACTTCTCGTTAAATGGAGAAAAAACTGACACGTGTCTTACCTGTTTCTAAGCGAAGAGAATTACCCCCATAATTCTCTATAATCCACCTGTTTGTAATGAAATACGTTATAGGCAAATTAGAAGTCGAATTGTTTTCCGGATATGAATGCGTAAACCTATGTATTCACAAATGAATAAAACTTTAAATATTTAATAGAGACCTAGCTGAATTAGACGCGCGTTCGCATGCGCTAGAGCCGCACATGGCGACGTGCTGTCAGACGGGCTCCGGTGGGTTTCCCACATGTCACATTAAGATGTAAATTTATGAGCTCAGTCCAATGTGGTACTACGTTACTGTCGCACATCAAGGCTGTTACAACGTGGCATATTATCTCTGCGAAAGGAAATTTAAAAACTACTACCCGCGTGGTTTTAATAAGGTCCGTAATCCTGAATGCCAATTTATTCTGACTTGAGCCTTTTACATACCGTTTCTAAAAACCGGTTAAAGTGATGTACATTTAAAATGGGCTGTATCTATTATCTGAGCAGAAAGCTTCGTGTTTTTGCTGTTGTACTACATTGTATGCCAACGTGATACAGTTGAATCTTCAAACAATTAGCAAGACGAGCTATTTTGTAAATGAAGGCCAATACTAATTTGATCACAATATAAACTCTCCGAATCTTTAACGTAGAAATATCGTTTTATTTCCATAGTCTATGCTGTCTTGCAGCCAGGTGAAATAGTACAGTTTCGTGGATTGTAACGTGAGCTGCCTACAACCGGAACTATTAAATAAGAGGAACAATATCACTTTCCCTGATTCATTTTACTTGTATGGTGCTTTTTCAGAAAATATTCGGAAGTTTTTTTTAAATAGTTTGGCTTACGCCACTCCTTTATGAATCAGAACAAAGTGGCAAAACCAAAGGGAAATATCCAATATGCAACGTTTTAACTAGAATTTTAGCAGATTGGTGGAAGTTTCAACCTCTGGTTTTCTGAAATTTGGAATTAAAGTTTTCTTGGAAAAAAAACTCCTTTGAATGTCCTTGTCACTTCCAATTATCTATCTATCTATCTATCTATCTATCTATCTATCTATCTATCTATCTATCTATCTATCAACCAATCAATCAATCATCCGACTGGGGCACGGTGGTTGTAGTGGTACCAGTCACATCCACTATGGGCATTTTACAGTCAGCAGTCAGCATACCTGCATGTCTTCGGACTGCAAGATGAAAGCAGAGTAGCTGGTAGATGCTTATGATCCATGAAGACTCCACACACCTCAAAGGTGGGATTTGAACATGCTGCCCTTTACATCCATTTGATCAGTTTTAATTTCCAAAACACATGACCAATCTTCAATAGAAAAAATGGGAACAAAAGGCCCTATCCATATTTTTTATTATTATTTTTAAATTACTGTCATATTATCTGGGTGTTGACCTCATTCAAAGAGAGAATTTCACAATTAAATCTCACCTTTTCAATGAAAGGAAAAGGTAATTCTAGAGCAGCTCATCAGCCTGGAGAGAGATAAGGCAAATGAAAAAAGACCTATCAGTTGTGAACTGCCTATGCAAATGTTTTTCGATAAGATGAATGCTAAGGTTTATCTCATTCAAGTAGTTTGGTTGTCTACTGCTATGTGTTGTTGCATTCTGTAGTTTTTGCTGAACATTGTGTGCCACTGAATGAGTGCCATATCAAATGGGCATCTCAGAAAATGCAACCAAGACAGATTGAGTCATTCGTATATATGTAGATATATACATAGTGTTCTTTAGCTCTGTGGGTGTTAAGGCTGCTTAAGTTTGTCAGTCTAGCTAGACTCAAGAGTTGTTGCATGGAAAAATAGCCCCACAGTTGAAAGTAGAAATGAAATGAGACAGTTAATAGTTGATTTTTTCAGTCGTCTGAACCTTAAGCAATGCATAGAAAAAGCCAAAGCTATCCATCTGCCGGCTTACGCTTCAGATAAGCTGACTGAAACCAATCCTGATAGCACTGCAGATGTCAATCTTGTCAATTTGGTGAATTTGGAGCATGTTCTTGAAGATTAATGAGTTATTTAGAAATATGTGCAAATTTTATGCTTCATTCGCATGACCCTCAGTGGTTAACACATTTTGAAAATGGTGAAGGAAGTACAGGAAATGAAAGCCCTGTGGGTGCACTCGTGACCCTTAACCTTGGATAGCGCTGGAGGTGAGTGTGAGGGCATGTCATTTTTTGTTTTCTTTTGATGATGTCAATTATTTATTTATTTATTTGTAGGGTTCCCTGCCTTGTGCCCATAGTTTCTGGGACCCCCATAATCCAGCATAGGACAAGTGGTTACAGAAAATGGATGGACTAATATGTTGTATGCAACTTGGATAGTTATCCCTTTATGTTGGACACATTGTTTTAATTAAGATGACTTTATCCAAATAACATCACTGTGTGTCGAGGTTCAGAGCACTGTTTTCATTTCTGACTGAATACTACTGGGACACCAACCTGGTTTGTGTAATTTAGATGTCGAGTAAGACATTTGAATCATCCTCACTCTCCGTCATCTCCAGCAATTCACAGGACTCATTTCTGGATACAACGTACCTTGAAAAAATAGGCTACTCTAAGCTTTTTGGGGCACATGGTGAATAGTTTTGTATTTGTCTTCATAAAACTTACGTGTCTGTCATACATGTCTTAAATTAAACCCTGACTGGAGACCTGAATGGGATTACTCAGATATTGCAACTAATGTAAGAAATGTAATACTGCTGCAATAAATGAAATAATATTTGTTTTCTCTTTAAACGGAAATGAATGCGATAATGTTTAAGATCAGTCTGAACGCGACTCCTGTCTAAATGTTTTGCAGAGTTGCCAACTTTGGTCAGCTGGCTGGAGCAAGGTTTTCAATTCGAGACAAGTCTGCACACATGCACACGCACTTACATGTATGTTTATTTATTACTTTGTAAATACTCTGTAGGGTTTGCAAACTATTAAAACAGTTTTAAGATAGCTCTTTTTAGGTTTATAATAGAATAATAAGGATTTGCCGTAAGATTTCTTACGTGAGAGTCTCAAAGCGCGAGTGTCACGCCAGATGAGTGAGAGTTGGCAACCCAGGTTTTGATACAGCGACACTGATCATGGATATAGAATTAGCTAGCAAGCCACCGTGTTACACACACAGTCCACTGTCAGTTCTGTCAGCCCAGTTACCGTTCCACCTAACCATCCCTTCCCATCCCGGAGCTGAGCCACGCTTTGCCTTGTACTTTACGACAGCAGCGTGTCACGTGACTGTGGAATACGCGCCTGCGCAAGCTGTTTAAAGTGGAAGCCGACATGGCGGACGGAGAGTGAGGCGTTCGCGGTGGCTACCAGATTCCTGTCAACTGTCCGTTTTTTCTGAAGCACACTAGGGCCGAGAAGAAATAACGTTCAAAATGTCTCGACACAGAAATGTCCGCGCTTATAACTACGACGAAGGTAGATGCTCTGAACCGCCTTTGAGTGCATTTTTAAAGTATGCCTTCAAAGGCCTGTAAAGCGATACTCAGACTTTACTGCTGTCGTGTCGGTTTTGAAAGGCTGTCAGTTCATCCGTACGGCCCAGACTAAGGTGCTGTTTCATCCGTCATTTGGATTTAAGGCTGTAAAGCAAAATAATACATACAGTAATAAACTACTACTGCCTCACACACGTTTGGCTAATGCTAGCTTCATATGTTGCTCGCTTCCTAGATATCTATTTAGTCAAAGTTGATTACGTCTTACTAGGTTAAGCAGTATATACTAACCAGATGACGCTCTGCACAACTTTATTAAGAACTTGTCCCTAAAACTATAGTTTGAATCATGAAACACATACGTAGCCAGCTAAGTCTATAAAGCCAATGTTTCTGCAGTTATCATAGTCCTGTATGTTTTATCATTTATCCATCATATTTATCTATTTGTCTATCATTTCATAGACTTTGAAGATGACGATGTATACGGGCACTCTGTGGACGATGACTACTGTATATCACCGGCTACAGGTTTGTGTCATTCCTTGCAAGTCAGTGTACAGTAATATTTAATTTTGTTGTAAAATTAGGAAATGCATATTCCCATTTAGTTGTAAAGTTAACAACCCAATTTCGTGAAGTAAGCCAGTACGTCATTAATTTCTTTGTCATTGAATTGAAGATGGATGAGTGTTGTTGTATGTAGTGGAATCTGCTTAGATGTAGGCAATGTTGAGATTGACTGATGCTTGCCGAACTGCTACTGTGTCCCAAGTATTGTTCTGAGGATACTCTCTGGTTGATTGCATAGCTGCCCAGTTCATCTACTCTCGGCATGACAAGCAGGCAAGCTGTGTGGAAACCCTAGAGGAGGAAGAGTATGAGGCTGAGGAGGAGACGCCCACGTCACCCAGTCTGAGTCACAACCTCAATCCCCTGGACCAAGGTAGGAACAACATTAGAGGCCCTAATGGAGGATTCACTGCCATGGACTTCAGTGTCTCTTTGTATGACAACTCAGAACTACAGTTTTTTTTCCTTCATGTTGTCTTACTAGACAGCAATATGCAGTAATCTGTGATACTAAAACTGAATGATTATCAGTCTTTATACATTAAAACACTTTGAATTCTAAATATTACATTTTAGTTTTCCGATTTATTGCTCTCTTTCTTGTTTTTATCAACTGTCATGTGCCATCTTTGCATAACATTCAGTGAGGGGAAAATACATTTATGCTTCTGATATGCTGTGTCTTGTGTTCCTAAGGGTGTCCGTTCAGTTGAAGTACTTACCTGCTTGCATAGATTTATTATCTAGCGTTAGGTAAAATCCTTGTATTTCTCTGTTTTATCTGCACTGTCTTAATGATCTTAGGTTAGACAATATCTGCTTTTTGTAGTTGCAGCTGGTTGAGCCTGTTGGTTTTGGCTTTGATTTACAAATTGTGCAGTTTTGGTGTGGGGATTGTGGAGCCCAATTTTTCAGTTTGTTAAAGATGATTTCATGCATTCATTGTCTTGAACAGCCTATCAGAATGTTTTAAAATTCTATTTGGTTTGAGGGGAAATAGTGCACATGAAAATCTGTAAATAGATTTGATGTTTTTCAGCCTTATTAATTTGTAACCTGGCTGTCATTGTAATTAATCTTTACTGTGTCAGAGAGCTTTTTTTCCCTCATGAATATGTGTCACGCCTTTTAATAAAGAATGAAGCTAGTATGTTCTTGCTCTTAAAAATGTTGAGTACAGTTTGACTTTGATGGGGATCCCGTCCACCCCCAGAATGAAACCAACGTTCAGCCACACAACGAGAAAAGCGGTTAACTGTCCAAATGCTAATTATTTTTCTCCCCAAAATGGATATTTTCATTTTATTCTAAGAGTGGTACACAGGATTCACTGAGCTTATAATGGAGCACTCAGGGGAAAAAACAAGTTTAAGAACTCCTTCTTGAGGGGGAAGCTGTGTTTGAGTATTTTTCTTGAGTTCCCTCTACCCGTTTTTATGATGCAGAGGTGCGTGTGTATGTGTGTCTTTTGAGAGTGCACATTGTAGTTTTCTGTGTGTTTTCCAGGGAGGTTGTACTCCTGCCTGGATCAGATGCGCACAGTCCTGGGGGACTCCACCCCAGAGTCGGTCCTTGTTCAAGCTGCTCTCAAAGTGGACTTTGACCCACAGCGTGCCCTTGACCTGGTGCTGTCTGATGAAGGAAAAGACCGTGTCGTCCCACGGAACCAACCAGAAGCACCGTCTCCTGCTTCCAAGCCTGACCGAGGTATGCAAGTGTGTTGTGCTGCTTATCTTACAGCTGTGGGTGGTGGCAGGTTAGGACTGTGGGGCTCTTCCTCGATATTGATCAATATACTAAAGAAAATAATGAACTTTTGCCTTGTCCCCTGATGTTGTAGAGCATAGAACAATTATAATGATTAAAAAAACCCTTTAAAAGAGTGTGATTATTGAATGGCAGGTATAGAGAAGTGCAAAGGGGATGTTGATGTGGTTCCTTTGTTCCTCTTAGGAGGGTTGTAGTCTGTTGCATTAAATTTTAAACAGGTCCTTGTTTAGTGTTCTTTAAACTTGCTTAGCTGGTTACGTAGAGATTTCTGGGTAATTGGCATCCAGGCCAAAAATGATGTATAACTAACAACTCAAGCAAGTCAGCACAACATAGTGAAGTGCTGATGCTTAATATCATGATAATGGGCTAGAGCATATCAAAGTTTTGTCGCTTTGACATGTCTTTTATGAAAGCTGCCCATCCAGTTAGTTTGCTTTAGGGAAATGCAAACAGGTCTGACTGAAATAGTTGCGTGCCAGATAGCTACTTAGCCCCGCTAGCTGACTTGCTAGATGTGTTTTGCTGCTCCAGCTGGCTGTGAGAAATGTTAAGCGCTCTTGTAGCTTTGCACGTGACACATAGACACTGGGTTTTTGTCGTGGATTTGTTAAATGTGGGCAGTACATGAACTTACACTGCAGTGTGAGACTTTAGTAATGGCACTCGTGAATGTCACCATCAGTTTACTAGATCTTCCGCATGATTAGTAAACCACTGATATCAATGTAATGGAGTTTCATAAACTCATTTAACAAAATGCCTGTTTTTCTTCTCTTTCCATGGTGTGAACTGTCCACTGTGAACCTGGGACTGTCTCCTGGTCCTCCTGTGACATTCTGAATCCACACTGACCCCCATTGGCTATCGTAAGGTAAGACGCCTTATTCTCTTCATTACAGACTGAACCCCTTGAGCAGAAACAAACGTTCAATAAACCTGCCCAGCCCTCCGGGGACATTTACAGTCTTAGTCAGCTCTTAGCACAGCCTGACATGAAGCCAGGTCTTCGGCGGAGCACAGCTTCCCAAAGAGAGTCCCAGGGTTCGTCTTCAGAATGTGCTTCCAGTTGGAGTCGGCGGCCTGTGGCTGACTGTTCAGTGCCGTTGGGTCAGCTGGACGCACGCGTGCTCGGGGGGGTGCCCGCGCTGAGTCTGGACTCCCGCAGTGTGGGCCTGGCTGCCTTATCCGGCTCTCTGGGCGGTCTGTCACTTGCCAGTCTTCAGGACTCTGGCCAGCACCCGCTGCATGTCCACAGTGAGGGCAGCATGTCACTGGCAGAGCTCATGCGAGAGCACAGCAACAAGACCTCTCAGTCGCCGCCTCAGCCAAGCAGCTCCCTGGGGCTGGAATTAAGATCTGGCTTGGATGGCCCACCAGGGTTCATTTCAGTGTCTATCTCAGAGGCGCAGCGGGGACTAGGACCCTCCTTAAATTCGCCACTGGGGCTCCCTTTGGGGCCTCCTTCAAAGGCCCCTCCAGGGTTCGATTTGGGATCCTCATTAAAGACCCCACTAGACCTGGGGTCCTGTTTGTCAGCTCCGCAGGCGTTGCTATCGGACCTCTGCTCAACAGCAGCAACAGGGACATCCACGTCGTCTAGCTTGGCTGCACCGGGGATTGTGTCTCTGGCCCAGCTGGCCTCTGAGCACAGAGCCTGTGCTGCTTCCCAAGCTTCTGCTCTGAGCTCCACCTTAAGTTCTGCCCCACCTTCCAAGGTAGACTCCACCCTGCCTCAGAAGGCCTTAGGGGGCTGTGAGGCGGACAGGGTGTTTTCACAGAAGCCCAGGAACAAGCCCTGTACTTTAGGATGTGACGGGGGAGCTCGAGGACCCCAGCTTCCACCTGTGGGGAGTCTGGACTTGACTGTTGATCTGAGCATGCTCATCCAGTCTCCCATCAGCTCTGCTGTCTCTAAGACTGAGTCATTGTCCATCTCTCCTGGGGCTCACTTGCCGTTGAACCTAGATCGCTCAGTGTTTGGCACGCCCTCTGTGTTTGCCCTGGCCCTCTCATTCCACTTGCCTAGCAGGTCCTTGAAGAAGAGGGTGGCCATTAACCACAGGTCATTCCTGTACAGTAGGCAGGTGCAGATGGCTAAGACCAGGGAACAGGGGCCTCTCTTTAACATCCAGCCATTTGACTTTTTGTCTCCCTCCCCTGATGACATTGTGAAAGCCAATCAGAAGAAGGCTTTCACCCGGGAGTAGCGGGGTGGCCCCCGGCGTGTTCCATTCAAAGACTGAAGATGTGTACCTCAGTGGCTTCCATCTTTATTTAAGTACCATTTCATAGCTTCTCAGAGTAAGCTTTCATCTCACTTTGAGGTCTCCAGAGTTTCCTTTTAAGTCAAAGCCGATAAGTATTAATACATGATTATATGTAAATTTGGTTCACCACTTTCAGTTCTTGCTTTTGGAATTAATAAAAAGATTGTTTCTTTGGTAAACGTTGGTAGAGGGCAGGCATCTATGATGGTCAGAGCCTAGGTTTTTGCTTTATTACAGAGATGAGCCCCTGTGACAGCAGTGACAGACGAGTCACCTGCTTCCCTCTCCTTTATTATCTGTGGTCTGGTTGCCCAGGATCGGCGGCCCACCATGGCCTTGGCGAGTGGGAGGCTGAGAATCTTTTAGTTCTTCCGGAGGCGGCCACTGCCTGTGGGAGGCTCCTTGGGGTTCACGCGGTCTATGGGAAAGGGCACGCAGCTTGCAGGTGTGCGGCCTGCTGCAGGACTAGCAGTTGGTTTACCGCCGTGAGAGCAGCGTCACCAGTTCGGGGCCACCTGGAACCTTTTGTGTAAGGTGGCACTGAGCCCCCGTGTGCGATTGTCTGCCTCTCCCTTCTCACGCAGCACAGGCTTTGCACCCCTTCACGGCCCGCAGGTAGCAGACCGTTCTGAAGTGGCCCCTCTCTGTGTGGCAGGAGTGCACAGCCAGGCATGCTCGGAACGTGCTCGGAACGTGCTCGGAACTTTCTCACAGTGCCAGCTTTGGCGTCTCTCCCCCACGCTCAGGCCCGCTAACGCTGTGCCTCAGTGTTTTAGTTTTTCCGTTTTTGTACCTTTTTTCACAACTTTTTTTTTTCTTTCTTTTAATCTGACATTTTAAATAGAAAATGTAACCATGGACATTAGTCTTTTTTGGAGAATAAAGTAATAATTTTAAGACTTCACAAGCTTGGTATTCTTTACATCTTCAGTGGCAGGACGGGGATTTTTGTTGGCATGCAGTTTGGTGTTATTGTTCTTTAGATGCCTTGTGCCTCATTGAGATGCTGACACTGAATGCAAACTGAGGCAGTGTACTTGGCCTTTGTGCTAGCAGGGTGTGTTGGGGGGGTACACCTTCCCACATGAAGGCGGTAGAATCCCCCTCCTAACCACCCTCTGCTTCTCAGTGACCTCATTTTTTTTTCTCTTATGGCAAAAACACTGTGACGTCAGGCCTCTGAGTCCAGGACTGTGACTAATGCAGGATTGCATTTTCTCTCTCTCTCTGTCTCTGTCTCTCTCATTCGCTTGTTGGACTTCTTTTTTGCGTTATTCTTAAAGGAAGGTCAATGTGAGTGGCTGTGTTTTTACCCCTGCTTCAGCCCACAATGCACAATATACCCCCTGTACATGCCCCCACCCCTCCGCCATCTGCCCCTAGGATTGAACTTATAGTAGGAGCCATTGTTAGATATTCATTCTAAACAAACATTGTCCCTGCAGTAGGGCTGGGCGATATCATATCGATATTATATTGTGCATGTGCAGTAATCACCAGGGCTTCAGATGACATCCGAAACATTTGGTCGGATGCCAGCTTTTCCGTACTATACGGACATTTATCTATGCTCACAATTTGTTAAGCAGGTTAGTAGTGCGTCTAAAATATTAATGAGGCATTTTATGCTGCTCAAAAGTTAGTAGTCAGTATTAATTCTACATATCCTTATGTTTAATAAATGTATCAGACTTTAAACTGCAAAAAGTACCTCCACACTACTAAAGTCTTTTTACCTTGTTTTCCAAAAGGTCTCCTCTTTCAAAAGTTGTTGTGGCTGCTGAGCTGTTCCTTTCTTCAAACCATAGTATACCAGAACAGTATTATGTGGTGTGCTCTGCTACAGTGCATATCACACTGAAGTATACCAAACCATAGTATACCGAACAGTATTATGTGGTGTGCTCCGCTACAGTGCATATCACACTGAAGTATATCAAACCATAGTATACCAGAACAGTATTATGTGGTGTGCTCTGCTACAGTGCATATCACACTGAAGTATACCAAACCATAGTATACCGAACAGTATTATGTGGTGTGCTCCGCTACAGTGCATATCACACTGAAGTATATCAAACCATAGTATACCAGAACAGTATTATGTGGTGTGCTCTGCTACAGTGCATATCGCACTGAAGTATACCAAACCATAGTATACCAGAACAGTATTATGTGGTGTGGTCTGCTAACCGAATTTAATAAACATAAAGATACGCCAAGTTTATACAGATTACTAAATTCTGGGTGTCACAAAACGCATCTCATTCATATTTTTTGCCGTACTACTAATCTGCTTAACAAATTGTTGGTGTAAGTAAATGTCTGTATAGTACCAAAAAGCTGCCATCCGGCCAAATGCATTGCCTGTCATCTGAAGCCCTGGTGATTAATACACATGTGTGATATAATATCGATATGAAATTGCCCAGCCCTACCCTGCAGTCATATTTACAGATAACATTTTAAGTGTTAGGATCCACAGCAGGTTGGGGCTGTTCTTTGGGGGTGGGGTGTGTGTGTTAATGAGTGGAGGAAGCTTAGTTTCTTGCTGTCCTGGTTCCCCTGACGTGTGCTTGTGTGTGTATGCTTGTGTGTGTGCGCTTGTGTGTGTGCTTGTGTGTGTGTGTGTGGGCCCCTGCAGGAAGCGGTGCAGTGTGAATGTCAGCTCCACACTGCTCCTCTGTACTCCACTGTCTCTCTAGCCACCTACGTAGGAAAAAGTGATCCACTCACTTGGTCTGTATTCAGGAAGATAAGATTGACTCGGGTCCTGGTGCAATGCTATTTGGTTGCATGTTTCCTCCTGTAACATTTGTGGAGTTGTTTTTTTTTTTTAAAACTTTTTTTCAGGTCTAATGTTCACACCTTGAAAGCCAGTAAAGTAGTGATGCTTTCCCCATCCCTGTCCCCTGTCAGAGCCTGTTTCAGTCTGATGCTTCTTGCCTTAGTAATTCACACTTACATTTGTTAATACTGGAAATTGGAGAAGGGCTGGTGATTTGACATATTCCCTTTAACAGCTGAAGCTTGTGTCTGGTTACCATGTTCCTGCCTCTTCAGTGACTATCCTCAATCTAGCAGTCCTGCTTGGACAGAGCTAAAGGAAAAGGCATTCAGAAGGTGCATCTATTTCAATGGGATCCTCCTCCTCTTATGAACGCTCTGCTTAAAATATTATTAAGGTCAGAGATGTTCAATCCTGTAGTGTTGCTGGTGTTTTGTATGTAAAGGTTAAGCTTAAATGTCTCAGATCATGTTGTACCTCCCACTTGCTGCAGTCCTGCACTGTATTTCACACTGCCTGCTTCTGTAATGTTGCTTGCATAAATATTTCAGGTAAGTAAGTATGCCAGAGGCTGCAGCCAGACCATCACTTCGATTTTTTCCCAGCCTATGGAGCATCACTTACAGAAGTGCAACATACAACAGAATGAGGGGTCATCATTGACCATTTTAAATCATATTTTGAGGGAAATGTCCTGCTTAAAGTTCTTAATTGGAATGTTTTATTAGAATATGACATTGAGTTATGGGTTTTAGCCCTTCTGTGCCTTCAGCTCGTTGTCCCTTTGTGTACCTTATGCTCTGTTAAACCTCTTGCTGTTCTCATTGACAAATAATGCAGTTGAGTCGGGTGGCTTGAGTGGCTAAATGGTCGCTGAAGGCTGCAGGGGAGTGATGTGGACGCAGTATGAAGCGTGCTGGCTGATTCACACAGGAATGCCCCTGAAAGGCCGCACAGCCCAGCGCTCACATGACTGCCCAGTGTTAGCAGTGTTAGCACTCTTTAGCCACATATTGAAATGCAATGGGGAAAGCTCTCCAAATCCTACTAATATTTTTATGACTTGTCATTTAAGCAGCCTGTTGTTTTGCATACGCTTCAGTTCTTGGAACTTTGAAGTAGTACAGTGCTTAGTACTGTGATACTCTGAAGTACGTGCAGTGGGTTGTTCAGAGCACCCTCTTTTGGCAGCAGCTTAAAAGCTTCTCTGACATTTGTAGCAGTAATATAGTTTGTGTGTGAATAAGCCTCTTACTATATCTCAAGCATTTTAAGTTATTAGCAATAATAGTTAAAGGTAATGAACTATGTTGTATGTTCTTTTGGGATTTTTGGTCGTGTTCCCCCCACCCCCTCCACCCCACCAAACTTTTTGTGGGTGTCTTCCATTTGTGGTTTTAATAGTTGTCCTTATTTGCAGCTCACTGCCTGATAATGTGTAATGAGTATTGGTTTGAGCTGGACTGTCCCATTTTGAGTCGATATGGGGCCCGGTAAGGGCGGATCCCCTCCAAAGGCAGGGAACAGATAGCGTGGCTCAATAGCTGCCTGTTCTGATAGACGCACCAGCTACCATTCAACACCACCACACGCAGATAAAGCAACTGAACTCTGGCAGAGGTGCTGCATTAACCAAAACAATGTGCTGTTCCTCATCAGTGCTTTAGCGGGCTAATGGGGGCGCTGTAGTGTGGCTCTGAGGGCTGTAACGTCACTGTTTCAAATCCTGTGGTCAGTGGAATGATGTCACCAATGTGCCTTTAAGCAAGGCCCTTAAGCCCAATTGCTTCAGACTGACCCTGCTTTCTCAATTGTATGTCGCTTTGATAAAAATGTCTGATAAATAAACAAAGGAACTGACGAGCAAACACGCAAACAAATAGACAAAGATTTAGTCTGTCGTGACACAGAGGGTCCCATGTATTGGGCCTGGCTGTGTCCTCTGTGGCATTCTGACCTGTACGGGGGGGGGGGGGGGGGGGCTGTCAGAGGACCCACTCCAGTGTGCCGATTGACTCTCTGTGCAGGATCAGCCAGCCCCTAGTTTGCATATCCTGTTCAGCGGTCCTTGGCTCTGTTCTCACAGTCCCCGGATTGTTTGCCTTTCCCTGCAACCCCTCCTGCCGTGTCTTCGTCGGCTTCAAAGGAATAAATGAAACACTCAGCATATACATAAAGTAAACAGTTTGTAACAGGATGCTGTGAAGGTGCCCGCTGTCCCCCCTCCCCGCCCTGGGGCTGTCAGGACTGCGTGTGTGCTGAATATGGTCCACACATCACTTACTCATAAAGAGCCTGTTTAGATAAGGGCCACTTATCTCAGTTATGAAATAAATCATAGATTTAACATCTTGGTGAGAATTAAAACCCGGTCACTTTGGTGCGTTCAGTTGCAGGGGCAGCGCGTCATTCAGGCTGCTTCCAGCTTTACGGGAGGCATTCCTTTCAGACGCCGTGTGATTAGTGCTATGTGCTTCATAAAGGTCAGAAGGTGTAGACCACCCCAAACCAAGATGTTTGACTACTTCAGCTGCGGGGTGACCTGTGTCTTGTAATCTTGTAATCAAACTTCATTGAAGTTTTAATCATAAACTTATTCAGGTGAAATGTATTATGTGTATTTGTCAGCAATTCAGTCTGAATGATTGAACATGTTTAAAAGAAAACATCTGAGTAACCTTTTTTTTTTTTTTTTCTGTCCTCTTAAGGCACCGTTCAATCACAACTTTCAGTATCAATATTTGATTATGTAAAATAGCTCATAACTGTAAGACGGTTCGCGCTCTGCTGCTACGTGGGATGAACTTTATGGAGATCAGCTTTTCTTTCTGCAGTAGGAGAAAAGGCACCTCGGCGGCTGGCTGACTGTTTCCAGGAATCTTTAGGTAGGCTGTAAAACATGGGGGGCGGGGACGAAAAAGTGACAGGGGAATTATTAATCACGCAAAAAGTGTGCCCAAACTACTTCAAAAGTCTTAGATAACACTTTTTAATATTTGCTGCTTAACTAATAAATTGTTGCAAACCATTTGATAATACATCAGTAGAAGGATATCTTCATAAACACATTTTGAAATGTATTATAATAATATCTTGCCTTTGGTATTTACAAAACAGCTCTACTCTTCTGGGATGGCTTGCAAATATAAAACAATGGGTTAGTAAGCGTACTCAGAAATGAGTTAAAAATGGCTATTTACAAGCTTTTTAGTAAATACTTTGTGAGACGGGTTAGATCATTGAAATATATTTCTAAATTTAATTGTAAATTGATCTTTTTTTGTTTACCGATGTATTATCAAATTAGTAAGAATTCCTTAATAGGTAAGGAGCAAACTTTAAAGTGTTACCACATATTACAAATACTATCCAGCCATCAAAATTGAACATGTATCAAGGCTAATTTGTCTTTTATTCATCTCATGATTGTTTAATGCAATGTTGGTCAAACTCAAAACCTCCTGAGTAAATGTGGTTGAATATGAATCTGCTAATTCTCTGAATGGCACTGTCCAATCAGGGGTTGGCACAGTGTGCCTGGTGTTTCTCAAGAACCTTATTGGCTGCTGGTCTCTGGGGATTATTTCCTATGCAGGGTGTGCCCCTCAATATGCATGGATAGCATGTGGTCTGTGTAGGGACAATGCGAGGCTCATCTTAGGTTCTAAACTCTTGGGCTCATTGTAGGGTCTGGCGGGGCTGTAGTCTTCAGCAGCCTCCCTCTGTCAACGAGGTGCCTCTTCTTGGCATGTGTCTGAGAAGTGCCCCCAGAGACAGTTGCGGTGGTTACGGTGTGGACTGACCCCCGGTGGCTTGAGGTTCCCACCACTCAGCGCTCCTGCAGCTTCCTGTTCAGGTGAAAAGGTAAACGGTGCCGTAAGGTGCGATGCGTTGATAAGGGGCAAGGCGGCCCATTGTGGCAGGATGTCTCAGCTCTGCGCATCTGGCAGCTACGAGCAAGCTAGGGAGGCTAACAAAGCTGCCTGCGGCGTGTCGCAGGGCAGGGGAGGCTGTACCGTGATTGGTCAGCGTGGTGTTGCACCTTCCTGTCTGATTTGGCCTGGGGAAATGGATCCAAAGGGTTATAATGAAAAGGCGAAAGTACCAGTTAATGAGGTCAGGTGCACATAGGTGTGGTTTGCTGGATTAACAGCCACTGCAGTCGCAGTGAATGCTTGTATGCATACACGATGACCTCACGTTGACTGCAGAAGGCCGTGCACTGTGTTCGTCTCCCTGTGGCTATGCCTAAGCCTCCAGCCTGGTGAAAGCTGGAGGTGCGTCGCTCTGTTTACAGAATGCACCTTGCACTGTTTACCTAGCGGGTGTAACCGGGGCGGCCACGTCCAGGCCGTGCGTCTGGGCTCGGCACTCCACGAAGCTTCATGACACATGTGGCACAGTTGAGCCATTATAGTGGCGTGAGGTTTGAGGCCATTTGGTGTTGAACCTTGCCTGGAGCAGACAAAATTGAAGAAGAAAAGCCATAGTGACTTTAATCCCTGAGTACATATATGTAGACATTGTTCTAAGTTCCATGTTGTAGCTTTCAGTGAGTTATTTCATGTGCCATTGGGGTTATCTATGTTTGAAAACTGATGATGTGTAATGTGGAAGAGAAACTGTGAAACGTATCCTGATAATACACTCCACAGCCCTGCAGTCTCCATAGGGGCACAGGCATGCTCATTGATGGACAAGGGCAGTGCATGATGGGATTATGTCATCTAGTTTACTCCCGATAAAGCAAAAATGCTTCTATGGGAAGAGGGGAGGTCAGATCCTGGTTAATGTGATTTCCTCTCTCTTCTAAAGCCTGCATTTGTAGACATTTTGCCTTTTATGGGAGTTTTTTTGCAAGCTGTGCAAAATTCTGTTGACTTGTGGCTCACCTGCATATCACCTGCATAGCTTTCAAATCTCTCCCGGTTCCCACTGCCCCCTCACAGCCTCTGGGCTGCCCGAAGTATCTGTGAGCCCCCTGCACATGCATTTAATGACACATGGACCCACATCTACCTGTGCTGCACATGGCACTGCCAAGCAGCACCTTTGCCTTCAGTGCTGGTGCCTGCAGGCATGATGTATGGATTTCTGTGACATTGTTTACTGTCCCTGAAAATCTGACCCTGTTGACCTTTAGATGGTTTACTGATACTTATTAAAAATGAGCAGTTCTTTAATTTGATACCCAGAGAATAAACAATCCCATGCATATAACTTAATCAACAGCTTTCTCAATGAAAGAATTATCCTGAGCAAGCAGAAAAATATCAGATTACATTCTCTGCCAAGGCGTAGCTGAACTCGGATATCAGTTTTTGTTTATTTTGTCTACATTCCCTTATTTTTTTCTCAATTTATTAAGTCTTATTTTAATAGTGAGCCCTTTATAGCTGACTAGTGCCTGTTAGCTTTCTGCAGCACACTAATTTTGAAGATTCCTGCAGTGAAGTATGTTGCAAAAACACACAGTTGATAAAAGTGAAGGGCTCTTCATGTACGAAAAGGAATCATCTGCTGTCCAGCAGGTTCTACTGGGTGCGGCTTTGGGGCACTTTGACGAAGAATCAATGTCACTTTAATGCGTTAATCATCATCTGCTTAATACCTCTGCCCTTATAATTGCCAGTTAATTTCCTGGGTAGGCTAGAACTAACATTTAATTAACAAAACTATAAAAACTAAACCTTGTCTGGAGCTGTAGGTTCTGCTGACAGTGCAGTATTTAAAAAACATTCATGTTGCAATTGTGCAGTGGTGGCTTAATGGTTAGGGAAGTGCATTTGTAATTGAAAGATTGCAGGTTTGAATCCCTGACCAGCAAGGCACCACTGAGGTACCCTGAGCGAGGTACCGCCCCCAAGCACTGCTCCCCGGGCGCTGAATTAGCTGCCCCCTGCTATGTCACATTGTCCCATATGGGTTAAATGCAGAGGACACATTTCGTCGTCGTGCGCTGTGTGCTCTGGTGTGTCAACAATGACCACTGATCACCTAATTCTAATTACTAAAAATAACTAGTGACCAATGAGGTGATGTGATAATGATTTGATGGTAAAGTCTAGTAATGGCTGATTAATACTAGCGGGTAGTGTATTGTCAGGGTCTTTGTTTTAATCTTTATTCGTTTATATATTTAATCATACCAGTGTAAGAAACGATTAAGAAATGTGATTTACACAGATAAGAAAACAGGATGAAACTCAGGCCGCATGTTTGACGTGCATTAAGGTAGGTGGTGTGGAATCATTTTTTATTCATTTGACAGTTTGAATCGCTTTCTCCTTCCTTGCTTTTTCACAAGAACTCTCAGTTGTTCCAGGTGTAGTGTGTGTTGTCACTGAACCGAGTGCTGCACTTCATGCTCTGCTGGCCTGGGTGCCAAATCATATCACTTATTGATTAATCATGACTAATTGATTAACATAGCACGAGAATGACGTGTCCTTTGATGGACAATGCTACTTAAAGCTTAGCATCCAGATTGCAAGTGAAGAAAGGACAATTATAAAAATCCTGTTCATCATCTGACTAATCTACATGTGCCCGTTAGTGACCTATGGTTTGTTGCCAGTGGCTAATAGGCTTTTTTGGTACCTTTGTGTGGAATGTCGCCCCATCCCTGTTGAGATGGGCTGAAGCTCTCCATGTAAGAGGTAGAGCGAGCCTGAAACATGGAGTGGATGGAAATGTGGTACATGCTGTGGTACATGCTGTGGTACATGCTGTGGTACATGGGAGGTACATGCTGTGGTACATGGGAGGTACATGCTGTGGTACATGCTCTCCGCAAGCCTGCTCACATGGCTCCTGCTTCACTGCTCCTAGTGGAGCTCTCTGCTTGCTGACCCATAAGCAGTAACTGCTCAGCAACTGAAGTATCAAGAGTTGGTTTCAAGTCAAAGTTTCAAGAGCAGTTGTCACTAAGATCCAGATTAGGCTCTTCTGGTCTGAGAGGGGATGGTAATTTTGACATCCAGAACCTTCTGCAACGCCCCCTGCTGCAGCTTGGTGCTGGGTTTGGGGGGGGGGGGTCCCAGTATGGCCAGTAAGGTGGGATGTGGTGAGCTAGTGGTTTGGAAGTTCACAAGATGCTTTATTTCTCAAAGTTAGAAATGGTTAGATGTCAGAATCGAATGTGTTTTATTTCTGGTACGACAGTTCCTAAATTCGTCTGAAAAAAATGAGTGAAAGTGTTCCGTTCTTTTGTGGCACGGTTATATTTGGAGTTTTAAGAATGGAAGTGTTGGTTTGTTATCGTGGCGGGTTATTCTTGTTCCTGTTTTACGCGAATAACATGTCCTTAACAGCCGGTGCCCTGTCACATGCTCACGTGGGGGGGCGGGGGGGCGGCACAAGAAAGGACCAGGAAAGGGAACCGGGGAGCTGGGAGATACCATGTGTCCTGAGACAATGCGCAGAAGTGAAAGCGAGTTCCCCGTAAGTCGGAAATGTCCATTGCACACGTAGGCTGGGAATGGTGGAAGCATCTGTCATAGTAATGTCAGGTGTTTGCGGTTTAAAGTGACCATATTGCTTTTATAATTGGGCTCGTGACTTTGTTTCTCGTCATTATGAAATGAAGTTCTTGGCCTTCTGTAGTAGCTTCTGGGAGTCTTGTGGTCTGACGATGGAGACCTGGTGGGCAGCAGATGGTACAGAAGCTTCTGGTGACCAGCACAGAGTGGTACTTAGGCGGTGTGGGGATGCCCCAAGGGCACATCATCATCTCACCCCTTCTGCTTTGGCTTCAGCCTTCTAGGTTATTTGATTTTTTTTTTTTTTTTTTTCTGTGGAAACATCCCCAGAAAAACTCCCCTTGGCTACCATGTTATGTGGAAATTCCCTGTGTCTGTCGCTGGTGTTAAAGATGATGATGATGATGATGATGATGATGATGGTGGTGGCAGGAAGGATGGTGATTGATAAAGGTGGTGCTACTGATTGGGTCGGCTGTGTAGGCAGTGGCGCTGGTCTTTATGACAGTGCTGTTGAGGAGGGAGATGGTGCAAGTGATTGGTCGTGATCAACTGCATTAATCAGCACTGCAGTTCAACATAATGCAAAGGGCACTGTATTCTGTCCCATTGGCTGTGGTCGAGCTGATGCTTGTTCGAATTATGTCATCATGGCCCATGTGTAAAATGAGAGACCGAGTGTGATGGTGCTCAGGCCTTATGTGAGAGGAGAACTGTTGAGCAACAGTGTATATCATCCCACTCCTGATCTTATGTTTCAGTAGCCATTTAACATTTATGGACAGATGACTTAAAAATCATGACCGCATTGCCAGGGAATGTACAGATGCATCTGAGATATTTGGCCCAGTAGTTAAAAATGAACTCAGTAAATCAATGGACATCTGATTTCATTGGCAGATAAGGTCTTTAATTTGATTGCATGATTACATGTTCTTTTCTTGACCATAAGAAAACAATTCAATGATTTAAAAAACATGAAACATTTGCAAATAAAATGTTTTTTTTAATTATTTAGATAGTATTGAGGAATCGCCACCGTGTGATCACAATTTGTCTGCTGACACTGATCTCCATGGCCGCCTTCTCATTCTGCAATGGCCATTTGTGAATTAGCTGGTAGGGATAGTGCCTCCTTATTGCAGGTGGGTGGGCAGGTGTCTCTGTCTCTTTCTTTGCTTGCTCCCTGAGCTGAAGGAGGTTTGCCAGTGCCCCCCTCCATCCGCTTGGTGCAGCAGCGTGCTTCTGCAGCCAATGCGCTGCTAAGGGTGTTTCCCTGCGTGTTTTTTCCCTGCATCATAAACAGGCCCCGTTCCTATCTGTAATGTGGACAGTATTTGTTAAAGCAGGGTTTCTCTCCTCAGGGACCCCCAGTACAGAGCTGGGAGGGAGCAAAAACGTCAACCATCTGTGGGTCCCGAGGACTGTGTTGGAAACACTGTGTTAAAGCAATTAATTAATATAAATGAATCAGAATAACTGGAAAACTGTAAATGGCTGAAATAGAAACCAGTTGTTATGCTTTTTCTCTATTCCATGAAGTCCCTGTGTCTCAGAGTATTTTGATACTGAAACTTTCATAAAAAAAAATCAAGCAGATTGGCAGAGGTGGTAAGCCCAGCTCAGAGCATGTTGGCCTGGAGTGCAGTCCCTGCCTTCGAGTGGCACAGTGAACTGAAACCAGCAGCTGCCCTTGCAGTCATGCCAGACCATGACAAGGCAGAGCTGGGTGGCGCTGGGCTACGCCTCTGCGAGCTCGTTTCACTGTGCGATCACTTTCACAGCCTCCCTCCTTTCCTTGGGATGGAGACATGCCAGCCCAGGCCGGCCTGGCGCACTTCATGTCTGACTCTCCTCTGGCGTGTTTGGAAAGCACAGGGCATGTGTTTCTAGGCTGTAAAGTGATCCGCTTTTGTCTGGGAGTTGCTCCTCTGTTGGCCGGTGGTGGTATTGATGCATCTGTGTAAGAGCCTCACTCCTACTGAGTACAGTGACACCTTCTGGTAAAAGCGTCATACAGCACATTTGTTTGTATTTATATACATCTGTATTTCAGAGTTATATAATCTTTACAGGTAATAAGGTTCACAAGCTGAGACATTAGCAGTTTTCTATAATATTACCATTCGATTGTAGTTTTCCTATTACTATTTTTTAAAAACCTTTAGTTAATTAACGGTTTTATGAAGACAGTTTTGAGGTCGTTACGGATGTTTAGATCTAACCAACTCAGTTCCGCAAGAGCAGGACCCCTCCCAAAATTAATGCTTCTTTCTCCAAATTGGCGCCTTTAACCACTCTGCTTCCTGCTGGCGGATTGCTGCTACTACCGGCCCGTTGTGATTCAGCAAATCTGAGCGCCGCCGCCGTAGAAGAACGTGACGCTCTGTGCAGGGCTTCCCGGGCCCCGAGGTCATTTCCTGTTGTGAATCATAGTGCTGTGGAGCAGAGCAGAGCAGAACACGGCACTGTTTACACAGGTGGCTGAGTCATACCTGTGCTAGGATGTGGAAGTGTAGCTGTTACTCTCTAAATGAGCCCCTCGGTTTCACTCGCAGCATTCGGGCTGTTTTCATCTGAACCACTTCCCCTTATGTCACTGGTACTGACTTCATGCTGGCATTTTGGATGATGAGGCTGTTTTTAGTCTCCTGGTGTTGTGCAGCTCTCTTCGCAGCCCCTAGATGCATGCTACATGTGTCCATCAAGCATCGGAGTGTCTGTCTCTGCAGGTGGTGCATAAACCCACTGCTTGTCAGGCACCGAGAGTGGTGTGCTCTGACAGTCTGGACATTTGTTATTGTTCGGTTTGCGACACGAAAGTCTGCAACTCATTTTTTTTCAGGTTGGTGATTAGCTCCCTCCTCAAAGAGCGTGCAAACTGTTGCTGGGCGTTCAGCGTTAACCCCTTGCTCACCGGGCTGCCTGTGACCCGCCAGCATGCAGATGACACTTATGAGTCACGGTGGCCTTATGACTGGCTCGCTGTGACGCGCTTCTTCCCCCCCTGAGGCGCCTGGCTTTGAAGCAATGGCACAGACTCCCTTTTTCCATAGAGCTGTCGGTGACAGGGCGTGCAGCCATCCCTGCGTCAGTAACCCCCTCTGTCTCATCAGGTAGAGCACGAGAGCCCCTGGGAAGCCAGCTGGATGCTGAGGTGCTCCCCAAAGTGGCCCGCATGACCGTGTCCGGCAAAAAGCAAACCATGGGCTTTGACGTCCCAAAGTGAGTACCGAACCTGAGTCACTGCCAGGGCTGCTGGTCCCACTGCCTGACCTGAGTGACGTTAGCTCACCATTCAGAGCCTTTGCTGTCACAGTCATTCCTCCCACTTGTCTGCTTTTACCATGCTGACCTGGTTAACTGCAAAGAGACTTCTGTCCTGATTGACTCGTGGTGAACATGTCCCAGTATGAGGCTGGCATATGTGGGGCAGGTACAGTGAGTCAGTTTAATGGCTGCCGTGGGAGGGATAGAGGCCAGCCATTTGAAGGTTTCTGGATGCTCAACTGGCCCGCCAGAAGTTTCCCCCAGCCCCCCCCCCCCCCCCAATGTGGATCTGTCACCACCATTGGTGGGTGGCATTGCGTGACAAGTGACAGGTGATGGTGCTGAAGTCCAGAGGATGTGTTCGGCAGATGCACCGGGGTTCACACTGGCCCAGCGAGCACTACTGAGTTTGCTCATATGCGTGGGCGTCAAAGAAGCCGGCACCTTTTTTCCATGCTTTTTTTTTCTTTGTTTTAAATGTCATAAAAACACAAAAACAAGAGTTTTTAAGACGCTGGCCTGGCTGTGGGTGATGTATTTTTTAGCAACTAATAAAGCTCTCACTTTAAAAATAGACCTTTAAGAAGGATGCTGTGGTGTTCGTCTCCCCCCGCAGCCCTGAGGACACTGGTGCCCCGGGGTCATTGGTAAGCAAGGGCATGGCGGCTGAGGACAGCCCTGGGTTGGTGTACCCCGACACCCCGGTTAAGACGGCACCCCCCTCGGCTTCAGCGGCGGGCGAGGAGCCCACTGTGCCCACGCCCAGCAAGACCCCTGGCAAGGCCAAGCAGCAGTTGAACGTGAAGGCGGAGCTGGAGAAGCGCCAGGGCGGGAAGCCGCTGCTCAACCTGGTTGTCATTGGTATGGCTCACTAACCCCCCAGTGTCATGGCCATGTGATGTTCTGTGGAAGGTGAATAGCTGCTGTGCCTGTGTGCAGGTCATGTGGACGCGGGCAAGAGCACTCTGATGGGCCACCTGCTGTACCTCTTGGGCAATGTCAACAAGCGAACCATGCACAAGTACGAGCAGGAGTCCAAAAAGGCCGGGAAGGCCTCATTCGCCTATGCCTGGGTCCTGGACGAGACGGGGGAAGAGAGAGACAGGTATGTGCTGCTGGCTCCTGTATTTCAGGCGTCTTCCAGTCCCATGTCAGACTCATCTACTCCAGCACGGGGTTCCACTCAGCCATTTGTCCCATGTTAGGGGCGTGACCATGGATGTGGGCATGACTAAGTTTGAAACCCCGACGAAGGTGATCACGCTCATGGACGCCCCCGGCCACAAGGACTTCATTCCCAATATGATCACTGGAGCAGCGCAGGTATGCCGCAGTGTGGCCACGTGGAGCCAGCGGGGTAGCGATGCTCTATGTCAGGGTTCCCCAGTTCCAGTCCTGGAGGGCCACACCTACTAAGCCTGGTAATTAGCTGATTGAGCTGTGTTTGAGCTGGGAAATGTGCAAACTGTGTTGTAAACTGGGACCGGAACTGGGGATCACTGGTCTACAGAGTGCTCTGACACTGCTGACTGGCTGAATGGCATGTAGGTCACTCTCTGAATTACGCATGACGTGTGTTAAAAACTCCCACAACTGTGACTAGTGGTTAGAGGATGCTTGGATGCATGGATGTGCACAGGAACAGGCTTCTCTGTCTCTCTTCCTGCATTGTCTGCTGAGCTGCAGTGAGTGTGAGTAAATCACACTTGATCACTGCCGATTGGAGGAAGGAGGCACCGAAAGCCACAGTGGGTGGGTGGGTAAGCGGCTCAGAACATCCGCTGATTGAACATGCTAGATAACCTCGGCGTCAGTTTCGAAGTCTCCTTTCTCGCTTCGTGGTTCGCTGGCAACTCGGCGACATGGGTGGCAGGACCTTACGGGCCTTTCTGCCGCAGGCGGATGTGGCGCTTCTGGTGGTGGACGCCAGCCGTGGGGAGTTCGAGGCTGGCTTTGAAGCGGGCGGCCAGACACGGGAGCACGGCCTGTTGGTGCGCTCGCTCGGAGTCACCCAGCTGGCCGTGGCTATCAATAAGATGGACCAGGTGAGTCGTCCTGCTGTAGCCCCCTGCCATTGCCCCAGGGGCTGGGCCACAGCAGTAAGCTGATTGGTCCCTGGAATGGCCTCTCCCTTGTCACCCACCGAATCAGTACACATCATCAGCTATTGATATGGTTGCCCCCCCTATATGAGTTATGACCAATCTTGTGCCCTCCACTTTAAAAAATCTCTTGGAATTGCCCCTTCCTTTGTTGATGGCCGCCTCCTTTGTCCTGTGGTCCTGCCCTGTCCCCACACTGATCGTATCTCCCTTGTCATTTGGCGGCCCGCAGGTGACCTGGCAGCAAGAACGCTTCCAGGAGATTGTTACCAAGCTTGGGCACTTCCTGAAGCAGGCGGGCTTCAAGGCAAGGCCCCGCCCCCCGCCCATGCGAACGCGACTGTGCTGGGCCCCACCCCACGTGCTGATCGCCGCCTGTGTGTGTCATTGTCCCCCAGGACTCGGACGTGTCCTACATCCCCACCAGTGGCCTGTCTGGGGAGAACATGTCTGTGAGGAGCACACTGCCCCAGCTCACGGCCTGGTACCAGGGGCCCTGCCTTCTGGAGCAGATCGGTACGGCTTCCCACGCCCATGGGGCGGGAGGGGGTTGGGGAGGGAATGGAAACCCTGAGCTGACGGGACAGAGTAGCCAAATTTTTCTCCTGCTATGACTTGCATGCTGGGGATGAATCTGCAGCTGATCTTGCCAGGCCTCAGCTTTGACCGATTCCTGATATCTCCCTCCCCTCCAGATGCCTTCCGGCCGCCCCCACGCTGCGTGGAAAAGCCTTTCCGGCTCTGCGTCTCGGACGTTTTCAAAGGTGGGTGCCACCTAGCCGCCGTACAGCAGCTGTCCGTGTGAGGCTAACCCCCAGCTCATCTGCGGCCTCTCTCTGCTTCCAGATCAGGGCTCCGGCTTCTGCGTCACCGGCAAGGTGGAGGCTGGCTACGTCCAGGCTGGTGACCGTGTGTTGGTGATGCCTCCCAACGAGACCTGCACCATCAAGGGTACTGAGCCTCCGCCGTCGCTGCCCCGCCCCGTGTCGCCCCAAGGAACCGCCCACCCAGTAACGCGTTGCCATGATGACGCTCATGCGTTGACTCATCGGGTGTTGTCGTGTGGATCATTGTATTCTCGTTTGTGGTCTGGATTAGCTCGTAATTAGCCTTGATTGCTGAGCCAAAATCTGACTTTGCCATCACCCATTTTTTTGAAAGAGATTCTTTGTGGGTTTCATTGTACAGGAACAAAGCATAAAATTCCATCCCTTCATTCATCCTGGTGTCATGCATGAAAGAAACCATTTAAAGAATGCGGTCGAGTTCAAGTTTTTAGTTCAGTATTTTAGTTTATTTAATAGCTCATAGGCAGTTCATTTATCAGTCAGTATTAGGAAGATGCAGGTAACGTCCATTTTGCATTTAGGCTGATTGTCTTTGCAGGTAACATAAATTCAGTGGATGTGAACAGGGGGTCACTATGGTGCACTGCTGGCTTGCTTCACCTCCCCGGAGCTTCATTTAACCTCCTCAGAGTGCCATTTTCCTATCGTGTTATTTATTGCTCTCAAGTCACCAAACAGACATTCAGCATTTTTTCTGGTTTCCTCAGCTGTCTGGCTAAGAGCAGCTTGGTTCGAGGCCTCTCTCCTGCAAGTGCCAGGCCTGCTTTCTGCTTTCTGGCCTGCCTGTCACTGCTGAGGGGTGAGGGGATGCTGACTGCTACAGGAAGCTAGCAGAGGGCTATCTGTGCATTCCAGCACCCCCCCCCCCAATATGGAACAGGGACAGGTTGAGCAATCGCCTTTCCTCTCAACATGCAGATGTGTTCCTTAAGCAGTTGGGACATTTGTTTTCCCCTTTCGGTCCATAGATAATCAAATGCATATGTTCTATGACCGTGTCTTATCAGAGTGAAAATGCAGAAGTGAATTCACCATATTTCAGTGCACCATGTAGGACTGTCTAAACCTGCTTTTTCAGGGAATTGCGCGTTGCATAAGCATTTCCCATGCATTTGTGCATAGGGTAATTACCGCGTATAGTTATACATTTGTATTAAGCGTCATGTTTCTGAATGTATGAGGTGTTTGTCATAGAACCTGACTTTTGAGTGCTACTGTTACAGGTTTAAAAAAGTCTACATCTGGAGCTTGTTTATAGATCCCATGAACGGTGGGCTTACTTGGTTTTGTATTGTAATACCTTCTTCTGTGTAATATTCCAAGCTCAGGAGCATGATGGAACCCAGTACCTTGCACTCCCATGATGTAATGTCATCTGGGTGTGTTTACTGTATCAGCTTTCCTGTATGGAGTTTAACCTGTATTCTTTGGTCATTAACCAAAATGGGTTAAACACTAATAGCTGCCTGTCCATCGTGATTTGGGTGGTACTAGTAAGAACCTTCATGGTCAGGGACTGACTTTCTTTTAGCTAAATTTGTGATGGATATGGCGCTCTCTGCTGGCTGGAAAAGTAACTTCGCTTTCTGACTTGTTGATTCACTTTAACATCAAAGTGCTGTGTGAAATTGAAAAGAGTCTCTAGAATCTAGATGAATTATTTTTGGGATTTTTGTGTGCGGAAGGTCTGTATTTGGCAGCGTTCAAAGGACTGTCGAGGGCCACATGTTGTCCCTCCTTTTGTAGTGAAATCTGATGAGTCAGAGCACACTGGGGAGAGAGAGTGCGAGAGAAAGGGCTTCTCTATCTGCACCTCCAGACCGAGACTCTTTCTGATCAGGCAGTTTTTGTTCTTTCTCACTTCCAGGTATTGCTCTGCATGAGGAGCCAATCGAATGGGCGGCCGCCGGGGATCATGTCAGCCTTACCGTGACTGGCATGGATATCATCAAAATCAAGTCAGTGCACACTTCCTCTCACGCCCGTCTGCGGTGCCTGCGCCACCCTCTAGCTTGATGAGGAAACCCGCTATCTGGCCGTCTGCTTTGAGAGGGGCGAGGTCCTCTACCAGTTGCAGTTTGAGGCCTCGTAATGCTATATTTGGTGCCGCGGGTATAATTTCATTGATTTTTTCTTTTTTTTTTCTCGAACTGTGAATCATACCGTGAGCATTTTGATTTCCCTGAAAGACTTCTGTGGTTTGTCAGTTTGTGACATTGTGGAAAATAAAAGGTGACACATGCCTCAGACTACAGCGCTCTCTCGAGGCGAATGGTGTTCTGGCATGTCCTCATTGGCTTCCGTCTTTTGGCAGTGTGGGCTGTGTCTTCTGTGACCTCAAGGAGCCGATCAGAGCCTGCTCCCGATTCCGGGCCAGAATCCTGCTCTTCAATATTGAGGTCCCCATTACCCAAGGGTTTCCAGTAAGGATGCCACACTGTTCCTCGAGTTGTACTGTAGCCTCATTCAGCATGCTAATGTCTGTTCTGCATAACCAGGTGTTACTGCACTACCAGACGGTCAGTGAGCCGGCTACTATCAGGAAACTTGTGAGCGTCCTTCACAAAAGCAGTGGGGAAGTACTCAAGAAGAAACCAAAGTGAGTCTCTCTTGGTAGGGGCTGTCTGCGCACAGGATAATGTAGGGTTTAGTGAGTCTCTCTTGGTAGGGGCTGTCTGCGCACAGGAGAATGTAGGGTTTAGTGAGTCTCTCTTGGTAGGGGCTGTCTGCGCACAGGAGAATGTAGGGTTTAGTGAGTCTCTCTTGGTAGGGGCTGTCTGTGCACAGGAGAATGTAGGGTTTTGCCATTTAACCACCACACGCACTTTTTGGTTCTTTGGTATTTCCAGTTCTTGTAATTATGCATTATTTTTCCAGAGATAAAGGTATGGGAAATTACAGTGAAAACACACAATAGACAAAATCCAGAGTGATGAAAAACCACAATAACACAGGAAATGACCACAGGACAGCGCTTATGTGGGTGATGAGGCAGTTGCCATGGAAAAATGTTTCGAGCTAGTCCAGGTAGTCTAGTTTTAACTGTGCAATCCTGTGTCTCAGGGATGTCTGAAATTGCTGTGTGCTGTGCTCACAGATGCCTTAACAAGGGGCAGAATGCTATAGTGGAGATACAGACCCAGAGACCTGTGGCACTTGAGCTCTACAAGGACTTCAAGGAACTGGGTCGCTTCATGCTGCGCTACGTTGGGTCCACAATAGCTGCAGGGGTTGTGACCGAGGTAAGAGCCAGGATGATTTGCTCTTGCACTTTCGACTTTATTGTCGTGGCGCATGCCCAATGAAAGATCATAGGCTCACTTAGTGCAAGGTAAGAACATAGTATTAAAGACATTGAATAACACAACATTAACATAAATAAAATAAAAAATAAATTATTAAATCAAAATACATAAAAAATAATCTGATTAGACCTACAACTGCTATATATACACTATATGACCTAAAGTACGTGAATACAAAGTTGTCTAACACCTCATTTTAATAACAATTACTATGAAGTCGATCTGCCCATTGTTGCTGTAATAGCCTCTACTTTTCTGGGATGGCTTTCCATTAGATGTTGGAACACTGCTGATGGGATTTCCTGCCGTTCCGACTGCATGTTGATATTGGGTGATCAGGTCCCTTTCTGAGAGCCTTGTGACCACCACTTCACAGCAGAACTTGCTCTCAGACATTTTGATCTTCACAGTCACTTCACTTGCAGTTGACCAGGGCAGCTCTAGCAGGGCAGAAATGTGGCAAACTGACTTGTTGGAAAGATGGCATCCTGTGATGGTCTCTAAGTGGGAAGTCACTAAACTCTCTTGTATAACCATCCATTCTGTGGCTAAATTTTGTTGGAGAAATTGCGTGATTGTATGCTTAATTATACACTTGTGTCATCAGTGGATGTAGCTTAATTAGGCAATTCTCCAATTAACAGGGGTATCCTATTTTTGGCCATATAGTGTATGTATGTTGCAATACTTTAAACTTAAGCTGTCTCATGCCTCTCGAATCTTAATCTTTATCCTTTTGCAGATCAAAGAGTGAAGATCAGTTTCCATCTCAAGAGACAGATGGATTGCAGAAAAGTGCTGCACCTTTATCTCACCAGACTGGCAGAAAAGTTTCACCCATTTTTCGTCTTATGAAAAGACGCGTCGCAAAACAAAGGCTCCAGAGCTTACACATAACCTTCAGGACAACAGCCTGCAGAAGGTCCCCTCATCATTCAGCAGATCTGTATCTGTCCGGCCTATGCTGTCTCCGCCGCTCCTGGTCGGCACTCTCAGCGGTCAGCCTGCTGCTTCCATTCCCCCTCAGACAATATAAACAACAGCAACAACATACCTGACAATCCAGGGACTCTCATATGTAGCTTAAAAGTTGTAATTTTGAGGTCATTTTCAAAACCTAATGTTACCTGCATAATCTCAAGCACATGCAAATGTAGGTTGAGTATATCTATTTCAGCTGCATATGAAAAACACTTGAATTAAGAACTACAAAGGTAAATCTATAACAATATCTGAGGGGGTTGGCTATTCAAATAGTAATATTAAAGTCTAGGAATAAATATAAATTGTTGCCATTTTTGGCATTCCAGTTGAACCTGTTTGTGAACAGGTTTGCTTGTGCTTTTTTGGAATGGCTTAGTGAATTTGGTCTTCTAGCTCTGTTAATTTACCACAAATTAAATGACAAATATGGTCAATTAAATATGCCCAAAGAACTAATAGCTAAGGACATGGTTAAGTAGACCATGTGTCTTCAAAGATTTCAATTCAGTGGTTTCCCAATGATAAATGCTGTGAAAATGAATTCCTGAAGTGAACCATGGTCATGCTTCGTGTCCTGGACAGGAGTGGGTAATGGGGACCTTTTATCACCCAGTTAGTCAATCTTAATGGTCCTGATTTACAGTCCTTAACTTCTGTCTGATGCCCACAGCAGCGGCAGGCCGCCCAATCCATTCCCAGCATCCTGTAGTGCCATAGGAAACATAGATGTCCAAGAACTGAAGTGGTTCTGCCAAGAAGACCAGTTTCAATTAAATTTGATGTAAAACTATTATTGTTGCCTCTATTTTTCTCTATCGTGAATGACCCAAAGTTTACAATGGTGTACTGATGGTTTTCTTTAAAGGTTTTTCTCGTCTTACTGGTTGAACAAAACTCTGAATGGTAACTTAAGGGTTGACTCAAAACACCCGGTGAGCTGGCTTACTCTCATTAAACATATTTTTTTCCCTGTAGGACGATCCTGATTTTTATCAAATGGTTTATTCATCTGTGAAATACTCTACAAAAGCAAAGAATAATGAGCATGCTGAAACCTGGTCTTAAGAGGGTAAGAGTTTAGGATCACTGGTTGGGTAAAAGTCATTCTGTTCAGTGGTACAGAACCTTTGACTTTGTGTGTCTGTCTAGGTTTGTGGTGCTGGGTTCCTCATGCACCTGCATTCAGTTATTACACTGCAGCACTTGACTGCTGGTATTGTTGAAAATGTACCGAACTCAAATCACAGCTCATCCTTAAATAAGCTGGGTAGGAGATGGACTGATGTGACAGATAATCAGCTTGTGTCTGATTTCCTTGATTCATTTAAAATCAAAGCAGAATAGAAGTAACTGCCAGTTATTTCTAATGCCTATTTTATTCCTTAATTCCTGAGGAATTATATATTTGTAAAAAAAACTATTACCTCCTGTCTCCATCTGTTATACACTTTTGTATCTAACTGTCCATTTATCAGTGCCCTTGAGCTTTGACTCTCCCCTGGTTAAGTCTTCCTTCAGCATAAAATGTGGTCTGTGTGACCTGGCCTAACCTTGTCGGTTACATGCACATCTTTAAGCATGAAGCTGATCAGTGGTTTCCTGGAAAACTAAAGCTATGGGTAGGCTAAGACCTTTCTTGGAGAGATTTTCAGATGCTTGGTAATTGTACTTTTAAATGCATTAGATAAACTACAGTATATGTATTTGGAATTGGATCGATAAATGGGGTTTATTTGTACAGTGAATGGTTGTGTTGAGCTGTGCAGTGTTATATTTAACAAAGGGGAACCATTGTTGATTTATTTTCCTGGTGGGTTTCAGGGCACTGAATCCCCTAGGTCCATGTTTCACTAACCAGTCCTTGGGAACCCCTAGACCAGGGGTCTCAAACTCCAGTCCTGGGGGGCCTGAGCCCTACACAGTTTTTGGTTCACCCTCATTTAACACACCTGATTCAACTCCTTGTGCTAATTACCACACAGCTCATGAGCTGAATCATTTGTGGTGGAGCAGGGAAAGAACTAAGCTACACAGGGCTCCGGCCCCCCAGGACTGGAGTTTGAGACCCCTGCCCTAGACAATCCAAATTCTTGCTCCTTCCCAGGGAGCAAAAATGTGGACTGTCTGCCAGGAAGCTGGGAGGGAGCAAAAACAGACTGTTTGGAGGTCCTCAAGGACTGGGTTATGAAATACTGACATTGGTTCACGTGTATTTCCCAATGTGGCAGAGGAGGGATGGGCCTCCTTAATATTTTCTCAAATAAAGTTGTTGACTGAAAACTAACTCCATTACTAAAGACAGGGCTGCACAAGTTGGTCAATATTTATGTCCTGTAATAATTATCTAATCCATTATGAGTGTACTGTTAAAGTCACATAATACATATATATTATCTGAACTGATGAACTGACCTAGGGGACAATTCCTCATCCTTGTTTTTATTTAGAATATATCATATACAGTATAAGCCCCTTTTCCCTGTTGGATAACCCGCAACCCCTAGTTATCAGCAACTGGTGTGGACATTCTACCATTTGGTCTTTTGTATTTTTGTAACCGAGACAAAAGGCTGCATACAGGTTTTGTACTGTGGTTAAACGTGGTAGGATTTTGTTGCGGTTTTAGCACGGTATTAAAATTATAAAGTTAAACATCTAAACTTTTTGATGGGTTTGTTATATACCTACGTTCAATGTTTAGTTTTCTTTTTGTAATTTATAAGTTATCAAAGACCGCTTGTTTACGAGACGATTTGAGTATGTCATGCATAATTTATTGGGGAAAATAATGTATAGTGCGATGGGGTCTATTTTTGTAACGCACCGTTAACTGGGTCAGAAGGCATTGCGAAAGGGGGTAAAGTACAAAGTCATTTAAACGCATTCATTTTGTAAATCCATACAAATTATGTAAGCGACATAACTTTCGTCTTCAAACCACTTATCCAGCACAGGGTTGCTATGTGTGTTTACCAGTTAACCAATTAACCAATTTGTAGAAATTTAAACATATTTAGCAAGCGACACCCCACAGATGTTACTGGAACATAAATAAAATACATAGGCAAATGGCGAAAGGCTTTAGTCTACATAATTCCTCTTACGCTGTAACTTCCAGTGTTTTCATAGAACCATATTTTCCCGACAGTGGGTGCAACTACCACTGCCGCTACCGTCTCCCGGAGAGCTACTAGCGATACGCATGCGCATTTTCCGCAGCGGTGATTGGCCGTCGGGACACGTGGTTGTGTGTATTCCTCAGCTACTGCCTTTATGGTGGGAGGGGCGGTGTCTGTAGACTGCCTTTTGCCTGGATAAATGCACCCAAACGCGGGGCTGGGGACTCTATTTTACGTTAGAGCATCATCGGGCCAAAATTTAGATCTACGTCAACAATCATGCCCAAAACAGCAGACCACAGGACTCATTTGGTTCTGGAGAATTACATAGGGGGCAAATTCGTGCCGTTCTCCAGACATATAGATTCATATGACCCATCCACGGGGGAAGTGTATTGCAAAGTGCCGGACAGTGGCAAGGAGGAGGTGAGATTATGCAATGTGATGCTGCACTGTCATACATACACGTTGCTGTATGCGTTTTTCACTCGATTTGTCCTGTGCAAATCAGGTCAAGTTTCTTCAAATTAACGTTTAGATTGCCTGCATTGTTAGCTAAAGTGTAGGATGCACAGTCGTTCAAAATCCATGTGAAATCCTTAAGTGACAAATAAATACATGTATTGACTAAAACTGTCTATTGAGAGAAATCTCGAAAATTGGGCTGAGCTCAGTGATTTCGTATTATGGCCTGACTGTTAGTATTTGCCTTTTTACCACGAGAAGAATTGCAATTTCTATTGCATATCACTTTTGTCGTACGTTGTAACTGTCAAAATTTGAATTATTTGCAGGCAAATGTAGTATTTACCAAAGCCTGAGGGGGATCCATCTTAGTCTGGGAGCTGTTTTATATGCAAATGATGGTTTATAACTGACACGGTGGCCTAATCAAGCATTGTGAACTCTGGGTTAAAGTGTTGATAGACGGCTTTGCTTTAAATCATATGTTTTACCGAGTTTACTCTTGGCAGTTAAAAAGAAAATATACTGCTGACTCACAGCAGTGGACCTTCGATCAGTACAGAGTCAACAGTGTGCTGCCTGTCTACTAATTATTAACCTTTAACCTGTTTAATCCCAACTCCCTACCATGAGAGTGCATGAAGCAATTAAACTGCTCTGGCCATGTGACCATTGACACTAGTCACATGACATTGCTCTTATACTATCAAGACAATATCTACTTTAAGTCATAGGAAATCTTTTGGGCATACGGGCACCTTTTTTTTTCATTTAAAGTACAATAATGTTGTCACAATCATCACCGGTGGGATTAAACTGGTTTAAGTGCTGTCGCTGTCCCAGTTGCAGTAGGATTTTTAGGGCTGGTTTTTGCCCTGAGAAGCAGTTGTGGCCCTGCAAGGCAGATTGTGGTGAAGCATGATTTGGGCTGCTTCAGAGTACTCTTGATGTCCTGGGGTATGGTCCCTGCCAGGTGGAGCTGGCTGTTACAGCTGCCACGGAGGCTTTCCCAGCCTGGGCTGCACGGAGCCCCTCGGACAGGGCGCAGGTTCTCCACAAGCTTGCGGATCTCATCGAAGCCCACCTGGAGGAATTTGCACAGGCTGAATCCAGAGACCAAGGTAGACTGAACACCATACTCATGCATTCTGACTCCGGGTTTTTATACCCGTTGTTTAAACAAATCACATAGCAAGGTTAAAATTAGGCAGCACAAATGACGTGCAGGCTTCCTTATAAAGAATTACCGAGCGATATAAAAAAAAACCCACTAACACACCTAAATCCTTTTGTTACCCTTCCCACAGGATAAGCTGAATGCTGCTCTGTTTCGCCAGACAGCAATGCTCCTCTGCTGCCTTTCATTCTTGCCCTCTCTCTGTCTGTCTGTCTCTCTCTCCCTGGATGGCAGGGAAGACAATCACCCTCGCCCGCACCGTTGACATCCCGAGGTCGGTGTACAACTTCCGCTTCTTCGCGACGTCCGTCCTTCACCACACCACTGAATGCAGCCAGCAGGACCACCTCAGCTGCATCACCTACACCATCCGCAGCCCTGTGGGCGTAGGTATGGGTCTTCTGTGAATGCAGGGATCTGTGGGCGTAGGTACGGGTCTTCTGTGAATGTACGGATCTGTGGCCGTAGGTACGGGTCTTCTGTGAATGCAGGGATGTGTGGGCGTAGGTACGGGTCTTCTGTGAATGCAGGGATCTGCACTGAGCAGCCAGTTAGTAACAATATGGCTCAAATGCCATTGTTATTGTATAGGAGAGGTGGGTGAATCTTTACTAAAGGTCCAACAGCAGCAGCCCACATGGGATTCTAAACCGTGGTGTAATTTGGAAGGTTGTCATCTGCAGTGTGGTGTTATGTATTGCTATAAGCATGTGTTTATTATGAGGCATTATGGGTGGCTCCTTCCTCGTGTGACCCTTTTGAAACAATTGTCTATTGCTTTGCCTGTTCAGCTGGTCTCATCAGTCCCTGGAACCTGCCGCTCTACCTGCTCACTTGGAAAATTGCCCCCGCCATCGCCGCGGGCAACACCGTGGTGGCCAAACCCAGCGAGATGACCTCCGTCACAGCCTGGATGATGTGTAAGCTCCTGGAAGAGGCAGGTAGGTGATGATGCACAGAAAATGACTCCTTTGTCAACTTCTGACTCATCTGTAACAGCAACTCTGTGCTTTAGAAGATATCACCGCAGCTTCCTGTAGATAGAGGAGCCCTCTGTGAAGTGATGATGTTTGTCAGGATAAGATTTCTGCTGTAGGTTAGAAGGTCTGGTATTCAGAGTTGAATAGTTCTGGTCCAGAAAGTAAAAATCCAGACCAAGATTTTGTTTCATCCAGTTGGTTGGTTTTATTTGAAATGAATGGTAAAATGCGCTGTTGTCAGCTGAAGCGGCTTGCCACTCCATTCACACTGCTGCTCCAGCAAATGTAAAATGAATATGAGGAAACATTACCTGCGTCACTTTTTGTATCTTTTCGAAAGACCACCCATACCCTATTGTAATAGTGATTGAAGTGATCAGTTCTTTTGATATTTATGTTAAATGTTAAAGCGAGGGCTTTATATTATTACTGGTGTGGGATTAAGATTCATAAGATTAATCTGTTGAAAGCAGTACTTAATGATAGGAGTGTAACAGTACACGTATTCATACTGAAAATTTTCAGTATGGGTCTTTTGGTTCGGTGCACATATGTACCGAACGAATGCTGCACATGCATACGTAGGTCTTAATGTGAAGCTGGAAGCTGTTAGTGTGAAGACAACTGCAGCACTGATTTTTTTAAATGTTGCATCATAATGGATATTTGTTTATTTTGTTATACTTTGTATTTTTTTGAGACAATATTTGTGTTGCACGAATCAGAAAGCTGCTGAATACAGTACAAATCAGGTGCAGTTAATTTTCTAAATGTGCACTTAATGGATATTTATTTTATTTTTATATACTTTTATGTACATTTTAGTTTTCTGTTAGTTGGTTGCAGCAAAATTGATGGAGACTTTTTTTATTTAAGAAAGACAATCACACTTTGTCAGTAAACCACTGTATAATAAGAAAAAACAGAAACAATTTATGTTTTGTTTTTTATCCCCGCTGTACCGAAAACGTACCGAAAAGTGATTTTTGTGCACCCCTAATTAAAGAGCACAAAAACAACATAAAAAATGACTGTATTATGGGTTTTAAGTCTTTTTTTTTTGGGTGATACAAACTCTACTGCTGTGAGGATTGCTGACTGTCCCATTGTTTTCTGGATGGGTTAGCAGTATGCTAATGCTAATGGCTGGCAGCTTGAATATTAAACGTTTGGCCCCTCTGCAGGCATGCCCCCTGGGGTGGTGAACATCGTGTTTGGGACCGGCCCTGGGGCGGGGGATGCTCTGGTATCCCATCCGGAGGTGCCCCTTATCTCTTTCACTGGGAGCACGGCCACAGCCCAGATCATCACCGAGCGCAGCGCCCCCTTCTGTAAGAGGCTGTCCCTCGAGCTGGGCGGGAAAAACCCTGCCATCATCTTCCATGATGCCGACCTGGAGGAGTGCATCCAAACAACAGTCCGGTCCAGCTTCTCCAACCAGGTCAGAGGTGTTTACATCGCACTCCTTCTCAGTGATTCAATCGAAGTGTACATTTGGACAGGAAGTTTCTTAACTTTGTTTTTGGTGATTCCCATCATAAGTTGAAAATATTAATCGAGTATGATAAATAAATAAGTAAATAACTAACTACTGTTACTGAATAAGTAAATACGTAACTACTCTAACTCTATGTGATCTGTTGCTAAGCGTTGTATGAGATGTTTGCGATCAGATCACTGCAGAGACTGTAAGTGTGGCTGGGTGGATGCTGCCATCACCTGGCTTCAGTAGAAAGTATCACATGGCAGTGCAGGGTGGTAAGCCATGAGCCGGAGCCAATGGCAGTGCAGGGTGGTAAGCCATGAGCCGGAGCCAATGCCAGTCAGTGCGGGGTGGCAGTGAGCCGGAGCCTATGCCAGCCAGTGCGGAGTGGCAGTGAGCCGGAGCCTATGCCAGCCAGTGCGGAGTGGCAGTGAGCCGGAGCCTGTGCCAGCCAGCGTGGGGTGACAGTGAGACCTAGAGCAGATTTTGCCTTAATTATTGAGTAATAATGAAGTTCAGTAGTGATTGGTGCTCTTATTTTGCAAATACGGATGATGATGTGAACATACTGTTACTGCACAGACCGACCTGTAAAAGTTTGCTTCCACACAGTTTCAGCTTAGAAATCTGACCTGTAAATCAGTGGCTTTGTGGTCGTCATGTCCCTGGGGTGGCTGGGGGGTTCGATTCCTGCCTCTTTGTTTCCTACTCGTGCTGCACATGTCTCCTCTGGGTATTCTGATTTATCCCCACTGTCCAAAAGCGGAATTTGTCCTATAATGGGCAGGCATCCCCTTTGGGTCGTTACCCTGCCTTGTTCCCCATGCTGCCTGGGATGGGCCTTGTAACCTTGTCCTGGACAGGTGGTTGAAAATTAGATGTAAGGAATTTGTGGAGGGAAAAAAAAAAAATCACTAATTGTAGTTCCTCTTTTGGTCTCCAGGGGGAGATCTGCCTCTGTACCAGCAGGATCTTTGTGGAAAGGAGCCTCTACCCAGAGTTCTTGAAGCGGTTTGTGGCTGCCACTCGACTGTGGAAGACGGGGGCGCCCTGTGACAGCGGCAACAACAATGGAGCCCTGATCAGCAGAGAGCATTTAGAAAAGGTAGAGGCTTTGGGTTTGCCTGAAAGGATGAGTACTTGTAGAAGATAGTGGTTTATTTGTCCTTACGTGTTTTTTTTTGTTTTGTTTTTTAATCTGGCCTTTTCTAGTATACAGGAAATGCTTTTCGCATTGCTAGGGCCATATGTTCTATGGTATAAAGCATTTTTGTAGCATTAAAGAAATATGTGAAATAGTGGCTGTACAGTAAGTAGAATTGATTGTGTTTCAGTGAACTACAGTAATAACGTGGCACAGACTGGGCCTGTTCGTGATGCTGATTGGCATCTCTTGCGCCCCCTTCAGGTGAGGAGCTACGTGAAGCTGGCTGTGTCGGAGGGAGCCCAGGTGCATTGTGGGGAGGGCGTCGACATGCTGGAGCTGCCCGATCGCCACAGGGGCGGCTACTTCATGGCACCGACGGTGCTCACCGGCGTGGAGGACGCCTCGCGCTGCATGCAGGAGGAGATCTTCGGCCCCGTGACCTGCATCGCGCCCTTCGACGGCGAGGAGGAGGTTATTGGACGTGCCAATGGCGTCCGCTATGGCCTGGCGGCTGTGGTGTGGTCGCGTGACGTATCGCGGGTGCATCGCGTGACGCGGCGCCTTCAGGCCGGCCTGGTGTGGAGTAACTGCTGGCTGATACGGGACCTCAACATGCCTTTTGGAGGCATGAAGTGTTCCGGCGTGGGCCGCGAGGGCGGCCGCGACTCTTACCATTTCTTCACCGAGGTGAAGACCATCACGGTCAAGCACTGAGGGTCTGCTCCCTTCTGGAAGCCTCTAGAGCAGGGGTAGGTAACCCTGATCCTGGAGTGCCAGTATCCAGGTTTTACATCCTACCTGGTCTCTGATGAACCATGCCTGATCTCAGGCAGATAGTAATTGATCGGGCAAAATAGAAAACACGCTAGATTCCAGCACTCCAGGATCAGGGTTGCCTAACCCTTCTCTATGGCTTCAAGGCTGATATATACTTCTGCGTGGAGCCTAAGCCATGACCTTTCCAAGTGGCATTTACATTTGTGTGCTGGTGTGTCTGTGTCTCTCAGTAATTACACTGCCATAATGGTAGGTGATGCATAGTTTGGGATCTTGCATTTGTTTTCCCACCCTGCGATTTATTCATTTGTCGAATCATACAATTGAAAGAGGAAAAAATAACAACCATTTAGCAAAGTATCTATTTATCAAGTCCTGGTCACAGTTGCGCTACTTCAAACTTACGGTACACAATTTTGGATGGTCACTTCTTATGCATTTTCCCGTCGAAAGTTAGTGTCTATACTACTTTTTACCTTTTTTTTTTTGTTAGTCTTGTGACGTACAAATAAAACCCTCATCTTGAGTGTTTTGTAGAGCGGTTGCTGCGATGCCTAGGGTGTGTTACCTAATGCTAGGTATAAATAATGCTTCGGTTTCAGTCAGTGGTACAAGTGCACCTGGGTGTACGCTTTCTTCGCCCCTATAAATAAACAAACGTTAACAGAGTGAACCAATCGCAGTTCTCGGTCTGCATCAACGTACCGCGTAGTTACGTTTCTGGGAAGGTGCACATCAGGCTATGGTGCAGGGTCCACAGCTACGTCGTACTTATGGCATAGATTCGACGCAGGAATATAAATCAGCCTTTAGGTCAGGCAATTACATCCAGCCTGACGAGCGTGTGAATGTATGTGACATGACTTTAACATACATGTTTCTGATTTGTGCTTCCCGTGGGTCGTGTATGTTCATGACTGTGTTACACTTTTCAGAGGCCCGCTAACTGCTAACATCTCCTCACCAGCTCTCTGCTAACTTAGCAGAGCATTATTTGAGTTGGTAACAGCCACTTCCTCTTTCCATACAGAGCCACAGAGTTCTGTAGAAGTTAGGATTTAATGGTTAGATGAAAAGGTCCTTCACTTCCACAATTTTCACTTGCGTAAGCCCCTCCTCTTCTTGCTCATCTGGAGGTCAAGCGTACCAAGTGAAACTGATATTTTGACTGATGAAATTGACAAGAGTTAGAAAGTCAGGGTGCAGTGAGATTTGTGTTGCACAACCCCAATAACTTCAGCTGAAACCAGAGTGAAACCCCTTCTGAAAAGGAAGTGTAGTATTTTAGTAAAATATCAACCTCTTCAAATGGGTTTGAATGGCACACATACTGGTTCTGCTGGATACTTCCTAAGTAGTTTGTGTGATTTCCCACTAGAGGGAGCTAGAGGATTTATGCACAGTGACAGCTGAATTAATGGCATGGCTGATGGACCACTGATTTCTTCTTTCATTTGATATTATTTAAATATTTAAAAAGAAATGGTCCGATAAAATCAATTTTAATTTTCCAACAGCATTTTACATAAGCACAAATCGATTATGGAATCTGGTTGCATGTCTTTACTCTTAATGGTGATTTAATAAATTGGGTAAACCATGAATTTCTGAGCATAATTTTGCAGTGAAGTTTTCAGTTTGAAAGCAAAATATCAGCAGTTTATCCATCATTTCCATTTATTTTGCATACATGGTCAATATAGAAATTATTTTGGAAAAACAACATAGAGATACAGAAGATGTCTTGTAACTCAGTAAGGCAGAATGTTCTGGGTTATTTGCGATGCACTAACCACAGGAATCCTCTGACTGGCACGTGTTGTGGAAATGCTTATTATTGCAAGATGCAGCACCCTCTGCTGCAGGGGCATGGAACAACATCTTGCACAATTTCCAGTCGTCATCTCTAGTTTCTCTGTATTCTCCGTTACTTTGCGGTTCTGTAGTTGGTCACTGTGCCCCTTTTCATGCTGGACTGGAAGGTCTGACTCATTATCCATCACCCTGTGGTTTCCGAGTAGTACTTACAAGAATAGACTCTGTATGTATGCCAAATAAAAACTGAACTTGACAATGTGTAAGAAGGAACAAGGGCAATAAATCAATGTACACGATGTAGAAGGTGATGTGCTCGCCTGCCATGGTTGTCTGGATGGCAGATGAGGAGCCAGGAGTGCATTCTGTCACGTCCCCGAGCCCCGGCAGCAGCGTCGAGAAACGCCCTGGGCTCTCTGCTCCCTCTCACGTCTTCATTTCAGCAGAACGCACTGCTTGCAGTCCCACCCATGTTTCAGGCCAACATTGACACAGTTAAAAGCCCGAACCTATTGCTTTTGGCTCCATTCCCTGAGCACTGTGTGAGGTGAAGCTGGGTTCAGCAAGCGCCCCCTGCTGGCTTGAATATGGTCCGTGTCAGCAGATTTCTTTTTCACTTTCTCACGGCGGAAGAGTACAGAAGAGGAGAGTGTCAGGAGTCTCCTAACTTTAGCCTTGATATCTCCCTGGGGGAGGGAGGGATGCAGCTTATCAGGACCGGCTGTCAAAAGGTGGGGGGGGGGGGGGAGGGAGGCTCCGAAATAACGGAAAAGGGAAGAGCGGGAGAATCTCCCAGAAGAGGATGACCTAGATAAAGAGAGGAGTCGCGGTACATAAATGGCCTGTGCCAGGAAAAAAGGGATTCAAAATAGCTACAGTGACCAGGGTCAAAGGTCACCAAAGGGACTGAAAGGACCAGAGATGTCAGTGAAGGGAAGTGAGACTCTGCCCACGGTCACATGACAGAAAATCACGCTGATTGAGCAAGTCAGGGAAACCGGAGTGTGGAAAAGCCCAACTCTCCCCCCCCCCCCCGAGGATGAAGCTCAGTTGGTTCTGGGCTGATAAGAACATAGCTGAGGACACTGGTCAAGGGGTACCGCAGGATGGTCAGAACAAATGATGAGAAGTGGCACGTTCCTGCAATGGCTGGCTCGAGACTCTGAAGTGTGTGACCGGGTGTGTGAGTCGGCGTCATGTGACCCTGCACTGGGAGATAAACAAACATTAACCTGTTGCAATTCCAGAATTTTCTGCTCAGGTCTCTCATGTATTTCTGAAATTCACTGTAATACTGAAATTGGTAATTAATTTTTATTATTATATCTATTGACATTTATATGTCGTGTCCAATTTCTACACCAAAGTCAAAATGACAGTTAGGCAGTTACCAGATTAGCCCACATACTTCCTGATTGTGGAGAAAGTAAAATGATCATCAGTGATCTTCCTAGGGTGGCCCCTGAAGAGATACCTTGATTCTTCCATTGTAATCCACTGGCCAGGTGAACCCCCCCCCCACTGATAGGAATGAGGTTTCTCTGTGGCGTTCCTTGCCTCACTGGGGTGGTTGGGGGACTGGGGGGTGGCAGATCTGCTCATCTCAGCAGAACGTGAGGTCATTCTCACTTGTCCTCTCTGGAGCTCAGTCATGAAGTTCTACTCAGGATTAATGGATTGACTTGGTAGGAAATGCCACTGCTTTCTGCTTGTGCACTGTACCCTGGCTTGTGGTGTGGTTGGGGGAGCTTTCCATTGTAATGGGCTGCCCCCCCAGGAGAGCGTGCTGGTGTGGGGTCTGCTTGCTGAGCCTGCTTCTATGTGGGGGTTCCACAGCCATGTCTCTACATGACATGCTCATAGATGAATATATGAGCTGTATGGGGGTGGTGTGTAACTCAGCAAGATAAGCTGCGCTGCTTGTAATCCGAAGATCACTGATTCAAATCCCAGAGTTGGAAGAGTGACTTAATAGTTGGGCCCCTGAGCAGCACCTTTGGCCCCCAATTGTTCCAGTCACTGTTTTAGATAAATAAAATGTAAATATGCAAAGAGCTGGTGCCTCACAGGCTCTGCGATCAGCTGTGCAGCTCATAGAGCAGACACGCTTCTGAATAATTCACATTATCCTTCTCAACCAGACCCAAGAGCATTTCTCTATCCTCACATGAGGCGGTAATATTCGTACAGATGTGCTGTGACACGAAACGAAACATTCCTGTGCAGGTGCACATTAATGCAACCTTATCTCTAAAACTGACGACAGATTATGCACGTAAATCAACAGCAGGGGGTGCTTTTGCGATTTATAGTGACAGAGGTGCTTGTGGAAGTTTGAAGGCTATGGCAGCAAATTATGTTTGCATGTACTTGACTGCAGATTGAACAAGTTATTGATACAGTTCAGCTTATCCATGTCTTCCCCGCTGGGCTCTGAGAAATTAAAACCGCAGCTCCGGTAGTAAATTTCCCTGTCGGCTCTCTGTACTAATACTCAGGACACTCCTTACTCCCTGCTCTTTGCCTGCCCCGGCAGCCACTGTGCCGACCCTCTACTGCCAAAGAAAAATAGAGCAATGCTAACAAAACAGCTCCTAAGAGGCCGAGACTTTGTGGGATTTTCTCTAAATAACTATCTGCTGCACAGGCATGGAACTGATTGGACGAGAGGCGAGACTTTAGCTTGTGACAGAAGCGATCAGGTGACTGGACAGGCTGGCAGCATGTTTTCCTAGGAGCTCAGATGGTGAAGGATGCGGTGTCCTGTTCCGCGTCTGACCCAAGCGGAGACCCAGGCCCCAGCTCAGCGCTGGCGCTTGCATTCGCTTACACTTCTGACCTTAGACTTGGGGCCAGTTCGGTCGCGGCTTCTCTGTGCATCCGGGTTCCGCGTTTGCCATGGTGCCGCTCGTACTTCTCCATCGCGAGTCGGCGCCATGTTCTTGCAGCCACTTTAAAGCGAGCCAGGGAGGCAACAGAATGAAACGGCAGATCATTCTGGAACTGACCGAATACAGACTGGATGAAGTTAGTATCAAGGCGTAGTCGTGAACAGGGACTGCATATTTCCAGATTCCCTAAACATTGGTTATAAAGAAAAATACAATGAAAATATAATTATGTGTCACCCACTGAATGTGAATATAGATTGCATATTTCTTAATGTCCTAACACAGTGGTCATAAATTAATGAAAAGAACAATTAAAATATAATTGTGTGTCATTCTCTGAATGTGAATGTAAATTGCGTATTTCCAGGTGTCCTAACACAATAGTCATAAATTATAATAAGAATAGAATAGTGGTACTTTATTCATCCCCCTGGGGAAATAGTGTTTTTGCCTGTCCCATCTTCCTCTCCATGAGACACACAGACACATACAGGTGAAAGCAAGTTCTGGGGTCAGCCAGCATCTAGTGGGAGTTAGGGATTGTGCCCAAAGGCCTAAGAGTGGCATCAATCTACTGGCCACAGGGTTCAAACCGGCGGCCTTCCAATTGAGCCACACACAACTTCAAAACAGCTGATCTTTTTCATGCTTCTAAGGGACCCCTGCCCAAACAAACACTCGAACCCTAGAACTTGAGATTATAAGTCTGATGCTTTATCAATTGAGATATCCTGATTCTCATGCTATGATGAAAAAGTAAAATATAATTGGGTGTTTCCCTCTGAATATAGTACACAGTGATTTTCGAGTTAATGGTAGCGAAGGACAAATTTAAATGATGTTGTTTAAATGACAATAAGAAGATTAGTCATTTATTCATGTCACTACTTTTCATCTACCTATTGCAAACACATATAACTGCATATGTAATATTTCCATGGTCTGAGATTTTAAAGCTTTTAATTCTTTTAACATTAAATAGTTTCTTAATAAATAGTTTGGGGTGATTGCATAATGGTTGACATTAGTCATTAATCTGAGCTGCACCTGCCCTTCTTTCCCTGTATGCATAGCTGTTTGCATTGTGTTCAGTCTACACATGTGGCCTTGCCTGAGTTGTGAAATCTCCCCCATGTGTTTGCGTGAAGCATTCTGAATTGGATGAGAAGCGACACACCACCAGAAACGCCCCCCTGACGCGATGTCGAAAAATCCCCGGGTCACTGTCCGCCGTCACCGAGTCAAGAATGGTGAGCTTTGCTCTCGTGCCGGCGGACGCCGCCGATGTCCGTGGCTGCCTGCCTTTGCCTCTCCTTGCTGCCGTCTCTCTGAACACTGCCGGGCGCCTCATATCACACCTGAGCTCCGATCGCACCCACATTCCCCACAGGACATGGCAGCGCCAAGCTTCACTGCTGTGAAAATAACCGGGGGGCTTGATTTGTAATGTTTCGGTCCACCTGGATTTATAGACGTCTCAGAGCCTTTTTTGGGAAAGCGGGAACGCACTACCAAAAATCACCTAACCAGAATGCCACACAGTAAAATTTTTTTATTTTTTGCATGAATTTTTGGTAAAGTCGATTATAATGCTAATTTAATGGTCAAGCTACAGAGGGCATAGGAATAGCTACCAAACTACTTTATAATCCCTGCATAAGATGAACAATGCTTGCTTGGCAAGTATATTGCAATTAGAAGTATATTGTTGTTAAAGTGTTTCCCTTAGAGAATCTGAAATTCCTTCCATTCAGAGGAGGCCTCAAGTTTGAACTCTAGCTACAGGGCTGCATTGTTTCTAACCTACCCTGTTCAGATGAGCGGCCTCTATTCGGTCATCCTCACTGGTGTTACTCAAAGGCGATTGGCTGACAATTGACTTGCTGGATGTGTTTTGTATTGTAGCGATAGTCCATCCATCTGCTAACCTCTTATCAGGGGTACTGGGTCACAGGGAACTGGGAGCTCATCCCAAGGGCAAGGGGGACCCAGCACAGGATGGACGATTCAAAGACAGAAATTCAGACAACAGTGGGAGAAACACAGAATGCCTGGCTTCATGGGAAGAACACACACACACACACACACACATTCTCCCAGCAGTACTACCCACTGAGTCACCATATCTCCATGCACAGCGTAGCTGCAAAGACCATTTGTACTGTGTGTTATGTGCTCATATGTTTGCTTTGTTTCCTGACTGGTAATCACTGAACTCATACACTCACTGGCCAGTTAATTAGTTTAATGCAAGAAGCCTGATCCTATAAACAGCAAAGTATGTGGCTTCAACTGAATATATACAGTCTGCAAACAGGACGAAAACATCCAGAATTTGTGCAGCTGAGCAGCAGAATGGCTAACACGTCATC